CATTTACTTTTCCTCGACGACCGTTTCCGCCATCCTGATCTTCCCATTGCCAGTCTACGCCTCGTACGACTCTTGCGCCAGGGAATATACCACGAATTGCAATCTATATTAAAATATCAATTAATAAAACACAATACAACAAAGTTATTGTCAAGTAATAAAAATGAGAATCATTGTTATATTATTCATACCTTTTTGCTTTTCCTACGAGGCTCCAGCAGAACTCTTTCGCTTCCTGGTGTAGCAATACGAAAAAATCTATGTCGTAGATGATGTTTATCTCCATGATAGCAAATGGAACAAAGATCGTAGTTGCCACATTCAGCACATTTCCATCTAATTCCAAAGATAGGTTGCTGGCGACAAGTATCGCACATTGTGCCATCGTGTTTCACTCCCGTTGGCGCAGAATCCAGTATACGTAGATCGAAGGCACCAGAACATCGATAATTAGCTGCTGTGCCATTATCCCAGACAACCACAACCTCTTCTGGCGATTCGAAATTTCTTACAGTACCCACATGACCTTCTCCACCATCCTTAAATACGAAATTGAAAAATGGTAATTAAAATATCCTTTAAATCTATGTTGTTAATGGAAGGAGGTTTCCTAACAATATGGCTATGCTTGCTAGTAAAATATATACATGATTCAAAATGAAGATGTTGCTTCTATTATTGTACAATTATCTATCCATTAAAAATCACATATATTTTATGTATAATATTGTAAAATTTAAAGGTAATTTAAATAAGTATGTAACAAATCTGTCATTCAATTAAATATAAAATGTTACATGAAATAAACAATATCGGAGTAACCTTACAGCGAATTAAATTAGTCATTTACGAATGTAATTTTTTTGAAAAAATTTTTGGACCATCATCGCGGGAAATGGAGAGAGCGAGAGCATTTAATGCCATTAATTCCGTGGGAGGAGAGTATCGCGTTGTCTCGAAAAAATCGCGTTTAATGCAGTTAACCTCTCGTTCTAACCTGTTTTCCCCATTTCCATTCCGGTCCACGAATCACTCTGGCGCCGACACCTTCCATCATAAAACGCGTCGTACGAGTACCCGTACTCGCACCGGCCTCCATCGCTCGTTGACAATAATTCCTTCGCGTATCTCGTTCGAAAATTACGGAGCACGATACCTATTCCTAGCACGAACACCGAAAGAAAATACCACTTTGACAATGCGTCAAAACACGCATTGCCAACACGCGTCCGTCTAGGAACATAACCCTTCACCCGGCGTTCGCAATACCGTATTGGAAGGTTTTTATAATTGCGCGTTTTATTGTTGCGTTTATTTTACAGAAGTATATGTTTATATTTTTGTTTCATTGTCTCTTGTGCAATTCGTATGAAATAGTGCGGTATATCCATTCATATACTTATATTTTCGTGCAAAATTACTCACGTAGCCAGCACTGCCAGCCCGTTTCACAGAATTTGTTTCCTGATGTTGGCAGCCCTAAACCTGGTTCGACGAAAGAAATATTCAAATGAAACGACTGAATGCACAGGGTTCGAATTTTTTACACAATTTTTCAAAATGGCAATTTATATTCTTCATCGCGCAAAGTTAATAAAATTTAAAAAATATACTTTTTGTATTTCTTGATTTTCCGATATAACCTAACGCAAAATAAAAATAATAATTATGTTTCATGTCACATATTTTTATGTCATGAATAATATATTCAATTTCGCGTTTAATAACTGACTAGTACTACAAATAAATGATCTAATTAAATAAAAATAATAAAATATTGTTATTATTTTCTATCAAATTAAAATTTTTTTACTGACATTTAAACGAGATTGGCAAATTTGCAGTACGATAAAGAACGAGGTGTACAGAGACACACAAATTGACATACAAAATCTTTTATTCATATAAAAGGACACTTTATACTAGCACGTACTGTCAAACCTAGCCTACTTCCGTATAGTCGGCTCCATCGGGACTCCTTCTCTCCTCTCTCTTCTTCTCTCCCGGCTCGCTCTCGTTTATCCCGTTTATCACATAGTATAATACGCAGCGAACGATGTCGAGTTATACTCCTCAAGGGCAGCGCGCGACTGCAATTGTATTCGCGTGCAAGGAAGAGGCGTCGGGAAATCCATCGCGAGGCTCATGTATCCTTCGTCAACCGCGCCACGCGCCATATTGCGCTGCGCGCACCGATGCGCGCGTATACACGTGACCAATTCAAATCCTTCTACCGCTCGCTCTCGGCAATCATGTCGGATGTCATAAGGAAATCTACCAACGTGAATACTTTCAATCAACGCGGAAGGCGAGATGACACGGTGAAATAGATAGGAATTGATCGCTTTAAACGCAAGCATTTCTGCCTACGTATGTCTCGTGGACGCTTGGCTGCTTTGACCGATATTTTTCGACACTAGTCTTACATGCGTTCTACACGTATATCCAGCACGGTATGTATACCTTACTCCATTACAGTTACATGCATAATATCGTACTTATTATCGTACTTAACACTCGACACTTATATTTACCTTCGTTAATTATTACTCGCTATGATTGAAAGGGAAAGAAGGTTGATATCGAGATATATAAATACTAGGTTTGGACTACAATCGCTAGAGAGTATTGGCTTGGGAAGAACTGACTACAACCGCATAAACTTTCAATGAGCCTTGAGCAAATTATTTTACTTTCGCGTTGCTCGCCGTAAAAATGCGCTAGCGTGATAAACTTTTGTCGCGATGGAAGACAAAGTACGAAACCGCGCGCTTTCGTCGATGTTAACTTAGCTAATTGAAAATTATGACACTGATCCTTTTTCTCTTCTTGACCTTCTTGAACGCACATTCGTCTGGTTGCAAAAAGATGCGCAAAAAGTTTCATACAATCGTGATAATTATTTTCACCTACGAATGTTTAAAATTTCCGCTCAACTTTTCCTCGACGAGAATGTCGCAGCGCTGATCGTCCTTGTGTATTGTAACTTCATTATAATCATAAAACACAAAAAACGTTTCATACGTATATCAAAAATTTATTATCGATTATTGCGTGGGAGATTTGTTTCGTTCACGTCTAAGAACAGTGACAGTAATAATATGGCCACTTTGTATATCACGATCGAGTTGTCGTGGAAGCTCCATGAATACATTGGTCTTTCAAGTCGAAAGAGATCCTTAACGTGAAGAAAATGTGAAAACGCTTTCATGATAGTTCTTCGCGAGAAGCTGTTCTCCCGGGGGCAGATACGGGCTTAATTATTAATAAATGAGTAACTAGGATGAACGGGCCGCTGATATCAGGAAGACCGAACGTTGACTCGTCTTCGTTCGATTATTATACAGACAGTATGCGCAGTATTTCGTGCGACAATATATATATAAAACATTCGTTCTATTTATTACACTAAAGAGAGCCCGGAGAGTTCCAGAGTCTCAAAGCGTGACGTTGCTTTCGTTATTAGACGACGATCGTGCGAGTCGAGAGTATCATCACTCTCGAGATAAATAATTGACTTGGAAAGAGATCCCGAAAAGATTTCTATCGTTTTCTCTTTTCGAACGCGATACTTTGAGACTGAAGAACCGGTACGGGCGGTTATCTCTCATCTCGTTCTCTTAACAGCTATACTTTCGTACAAACGTATAGAACATCGTTATCGTTAAGTATTATCATCAGAGGAGGGTACAGTGTATATAAAGAATTATATAAATGTATATATATTTATATTTATATATATATTTATATTTGTATTTATATTTATATATAATGACGCCAGCTCGCCGGAGAAGCAAATTCTCGGATCGGTCCTCCGCGCGAGCCGCTGTTTGAGCTTTGAGATGCGTGTATCTTTCGTTTCTCTGACTTTCTCTTTCTCTTCTTCTTCTTCTTCTTTTCTCTCTCTCTCTCTCTCTCTCTCTCTCTCTTTCTTTTTCTCATTAACATATTACAAGCATTATGCACACACACATACACACACGCACATATACACACTCACACATGCACTGGAACACAATCGTTGGCACTGTATGTATGATGTTGACGGATCGATTAAAAAAGAACGAAAGAAGATGGTTCGATCGAAAGTTCTTCACCTAAAAAAAAGGATCTTCGGATCCTCGCGGCTTAAGAATACTGGAAGCACGGCCGGCTCTAGTTATGCCGATCCATTAATCTCGATTGTGTCCAAGTGCGCGTGAACGTCAGCAAACTTGAGTAATGTGACTCCCGACCATTGGGACACACGTAGCAGCCGAATAAACGATCCAGAACGCTCGATCGCGTAGCAAATGATGACATATATATCGTCGTCGTTTAAGATTGTCGCAGTGATACCGTAAGAGCCGTAAGGATACGCCGGATGTCGTATAATCTCGTTTCTTTCTCATATTTTCCAATTTATGGCGTTACATAGTAGGAGGGATACCGTGGACGTATAGTTTGCGTAGAAAAAACGTTTAAAAAAGCTTCTAACTAGCTAGACGATTTGCGAATCGAGGTACCTCTCATACGATTCTCCTCCGCTGTTTCAGTATCACTGCACGATCTATTCGGCCGGCGCGTTGAATTCTTCGTTTATTTTTTTTTCTTTTTTTATTTCTTGTGCATCATACAAAACGCATTCTTCGCACATTTCTTTTCCTTTTTTCCTTCCGTCACTTACGAGTTGCAATCGCAACTTTGTCTCTCTATTTCCTCCTTATTTTTTTAATACCGACGACGATGACCGTGGCTGCGGACGGCGCTCGTTGCCGAAACGAAAGCAATGCCGCTGATATTCGACACTGACAAAGGCACAGTCATAAGTCTCGTACGTTCAGTAATTTCCTCTCTTTCTTGTCTTTTTAGGGCATGTATAAAATATCCCACGCGAAACAAAACGCGGAATTATCACGAACAAATTTTTTTTCTTCCTTTTTGCCCACATTTTGCTTACATTTTCTACATCCACGCTACTTGGCTTCCTTCTTCGCATATTAGCACCGATAACACGCTTCGATATATAATTAATCTCCTAAGATTCTCCGATCGGTATGTCTCCTCTCTCTTTCTCTCTCTCTCTCTCTCTCTCTCTCTCTCTTTCTCTCCTTTTCTCCTTCGCTCTATTACTCTTTCTCTCTTTTTATTTATATAACATATATAATATTATTAATATAAACGTTTACGTTTTGGCCACTCAGTTCGTGATCGCCGAAGCACATAATTGTCTGTGTTCCGCGCGACGTTTAGATAGTTTAGAATAATTTTAATTCACTTTTATACAACACTGAATTTTTTCCTGTTGTAAACTTCTTCGCCCTTGTATATGCTTTTTTGTAGAGATGAATCCCGCGTTCCAGCTCGGCGGCTCATCTCCTCCTCTTGGCGTCTGTAGTTGCGGCTATCATTTGCCTCAGCATTGGTTCCGGACTGCATACTCGCGGGTCGCAGCTCATGTTGCCATCACTTCCGCAACTAAAATTTTAATAATTCATGGTAACTTCTTTTCTTAGAAATAATACGTGTACAGTTAATGAAAAGGCGACTTATAGAAAAGTTTATAGAAATTATAGAGAAATAGAGAATATAGACGAATATTTTTTTATAAACTTACATGCAACGGAGGCAAGGTCCAGATGCTGATTTAATGACCTCTCCCACTCGATAGGCCTGGCCACGGACCTGGCAGCCGCTACGTCTCGCGGCTCCCTTATAAGCATGCGCGTGGAAGTGCGGTGGTAACGTGGTCGTAGTCGTGGTAGTAGTAGTGGTCAAATTAAGAGCCGTAGCCATTGATACGGGACATTCGTATCTGGGACAGCAGAAACCGCTGATCGGTTCTTCGTGGCAGCCTGGAATAGGCGGTGGACAACTTTGTTGAAGACAGATGATGTCGCTCCTGAAGCAGAAACAGAAGTCGCACGGGTCGTCCCTCGGTATCTGTTGCGCCGAAACGTAAACCTTGCCGCCATATCGGCAGGTGCCCGGTCCACCATAGTCTTCCTCGCCATAATCGTCATCGGGATTCGGATAGCCAGACATGGGGAAGTGAGAATTGTCTTCACCCGATATTCCGGTTTGATCAGGATATTCCGGAATATGAGGAGCCAAAGTGGTCGCTGGTCGTTGTTCGTGGAAGTTATAATCAGTCTCTGGTTTCACAGTAGCTTCCGGGAAATAGTCAATGTGAGTTTGATCTTCGCCTTCTTGCGGATGAATGGGTTCCTCTTCCGGAATCTCTTCCGTAATTTCTCCAGTTGATAATTCCGTGGGTATCGGCTGCGTCTTTATGACAGGTTCCTCGCCTGGCGATTCCTTTATCGGGATCTGAGATTCTGGTTCTTCTGGTACTACTGATCCAACAGTAGCTGTTGCCTCAGGCAATTCAGTTGGTTTCGCATCAGAAACCTTGATTGGACCTTCAACGGTTGCAACAGTTTCTGAAGAAGTTTCTGGTTCTATTTCTGTCTGCTCATCTGTTTTTATCGTAATAGGTGCTTCGGGTGCATGTTCTGTAGTAAACTGGGGTTCTTCAGTTATACCCGGATGACTCTCTTCGGGTATAGTTGAATGAGCCTCCTCACCTTCTTCAGCTTGACCAGGCTGAATTTCACCCTCAGAAGGAAGAGGACTTTCAGGTTGTAATTTAGTTATCGGCGGTTGTTCTTCCTCATGAACGGAAGTTGTCTCAACTGAAGTGGATTCGGTAGAATGTGCTTCCACTTCTTCACCTGCTGCAGAAGCTTCAGTTGATTCCTCTTCAACTACTGGAGTAACTTCTGGAACCACTTCTTCTGATAATATTTCTTTAGTCACTGCACTTTCAATTGCTTTCGTAGTAGTTTCACCTTGTTCAGGCGGCTGTGTTTCCTGTTCTGGTTCAGGCTTTTCCGTTTGAACTGGAACTTCCTCAGGCTTTTCCGTTGAACTTACTTCGAGTTTCGTGACGGATTCTTCCGACTTTTCCGTACTTTCAGCTGTAACGGTTTCTTCTTCGGGTGAAATTTTCTCCACCTCGCTAATCTCGGTGACTGGCTTCGATACTTTTTCTCCGATAGATAACGTTGTCTGATACTCAGGTTCATGGGTACTTTGTTCTTCTTCTGTCTTTACCGGTATAATTGAATGTTCTTCAGGTATCAAATTTGCCACGGTTGTCGCTTCTTCACTCACTGGATGGACTGGTATACTAGTCTCGGTAACTTGACCTTCCTTTTCCGGTATCTGTTCTTTTGGAATAATCGTTGTTTCCATTGGTTCATGAATTTTTACAACTGGTTCAATTTCTTCTTGTTTGATTTGCTCCTCTGTAGTACTAGTAGGTGTCACAGCTTCTTCCGTTTCTTTCTCACCCGCTTCCACTAATTCTCTAACCGTAGTTGATTCTTCTTTACCAGGTTCTTCCGTTATTCCTATTTCAGGTTTCTGTTCTTCTTCACTCTTTTCAGTTGCCTGTTCCTCTTGACTCGTTACTGATGTGACCGCTTCTGTCGAAACGCTACCTTCCGTTATCTTTTCTTCACTGGAACTCGGAGAAGCAACAGTTTGTTCCTCAATAGGATACTCTTCGTATTTCGGAGTTTGCTCTACGACTGGAGCAGTGACGTGTTCTGCAGCTGGAGTTTCAGATTCCGGAATATTGGGCTGTTTAGTTCCCGCTTCGCTCAGACTTGGCTCAGTTTCCTTTATAATCGGTTCAGTGGGTTGCTCGCCTGTTTCTTTTTCTACAGATGTAGATGTTGATATTTCCTCGGTGTATCCTTCAGCAGGTAATTCGGGTGTATGAAATTCAATTTCGGATGTAACTTCTGGATGCTTTTCGACTGAAACTTGCGTACTTTCCGATTCGTGAATCACACTAGTTTCAGTGGACTTCTCGTGTTCTGCTTCTGCTTCAGTAGTTTTATCAATTTTCTCTGGTTCCTCGGTACTAACTGGAGATTCAGTTTCGTGTGGCTTTTCTTCGGGTGATTTTGTGGCTAACGGTTCTTCTTCGTGTTCTATAATTGATGGTTCTGTATGTTTTTCAGCATGTTCTGTAATTTGCTTTTCTGTTGAACTTTCTGTTGTTTCTGGCAATGTTTCTTCATGGGAAACTTCAGGAGTAGATTCTTCGATTAATTTAGTCGTTTCCTCGCTGGACGTTTCTGTTTCAACAGGCAAGACAGCAATAGTAGCATACTCTTCTTCAGGAGTTTGAATTGAAATTTTCGGTTCCGTGCTTTCTTCTGTAGAAATTTCTACAGATTTCATGGTCGTAAATTCCTTTATCGGCACCTCTTCGCTTATTGTATGATCATGTATTAATGTTGTCGATTCAGCAGCAGGTATAATTGGCTCCTGTGTTTCTACTTCGCTTGGAACAATACCAGGCAATTTTGTTTGGGTTTCAGGTTCTTCGGTTTGAGCAGTTAATGTGACTGTCTCGTGTTCTTTTTCCTCTTTATATTTAGTTTCACTTTCGGGTATATGCTCAGTCGTCGACTGTATTTCAGGAACAGAAGTACCCTCATATTCGATTGGTTCGATAGTTTTTTGTTCTTCGGGAATTTCTGGTTTTTCCGTCACAATTTCTTCCGGTTTCGTAGATGTTTCGGGTTCCTCAGAAATTGGCTTTACTTCTTCTGGTTGTTCCTTTTCAATTCCTTCAATTGGTTTAAGCGTAGATTGTTCTTCGATACCTTTTTCCTCATTGGGTATCTCTGGCTCTTTGGTCGGTGTAATAGTTTCTTCAGCTTTACCAGCTGTTATAGTCGTAACTTCTTCTTTTTCAGTAGGTGTTGAAATTTCTTCTACTTCAATAGGACCAGAAGTTTCTTTCTCTTCTGTTACAGTAGGAACTGTAACAATGCTGTGAGATTCCTGTTCCACAGGTACATGCGTGGAAGTAATTACTTCGCTACTAACAGAAGTCTGTTTTTCCCCAGTCTCCTCCTGCGGTTGCTCAGTCGAAATTGTTAATTCTGTTATTCCTTCTTTGCTAACTTTACCTTCGGTAGTTTCTTCTGGCGCAATTGATGACACAGTATGTTCTTCTTCAGGTATTTGACTGGCGGACTCTTGTGATGTCTCAGGTATCTGGCTAATGGTATGTTCTTCGATAGGATATTGCTCGATAGGTTGTCCAACTGTAGTTGGCTGTTCATAATCCGTTTCAACAGGTTTGAGAGTCTGCTGCTTCTCAGTTGCTATTTCTTCAGATGGAGTAACAGGAGGAACAGTGATTTCCACAGGTCGTAACTCCGGTGTACTAATCTCACCAGCTAATGTACTTGATTCTGTTGCAACTTCTGTTGATATTTCTACAGGCGAAACAGTCTTCTGAATTTCTTCTTCCGCTCCAGAAATATGAGGTTCGATTACATGACTATCGGATTCCAATACGTCAGTCGGTGTGGAATCACAAGCATACGTGGGGCAGCAAGAGTTTCCGTTCGTGTAAACTGGCATACAATTTGACTGATGCGGTGGCGGAGCAGGACATTGCATGAGTTCGCATTGTACGATGCTACTGATACAACGACAACTGATCTGACACGCATTTGCCGGTGGAACGGCCGAATTATTACTATAAGATTGTCCTTCAACAAGACAATTACCTTCTCCTGGAATACCTGATGGGCGAGGTGCGATTTCCGATGTACTTTCCCCTTCTATAGAAGTTTCTTCTGGAATGCTTGTTGTATATTGAGGTACTTCCTTTAGCGGTATTCTAGTAGTTACCTCAGGTATTTCTTTTGGAACAACCGTCGAATATTCCTCTTTTTCTTCATGTTTCGGCACCTCTGTCATCGTTTTTTGAATAATTTCTTCTTCTTCAGATTTCGGTGGTTGTTCCGTGATAATCGGTACTTCAGATATTCCAGAAGTAATACTTTCTTCCGTGGATATTACAACTGGACTTTCCGTTTCACCTTTTTCCTTAATTGGTGTTTCTTCCTTTATTGATGGTTGCGTGACTTGTTCTTGTATTTCCGGTTGCTCTGTTTCCAAAGATTCGGTCACAGGTGTAATTTCTTTCTCGATGGAAATTTCGTGCTTCGTAGGCTCTTCAAATCCAGGCAGTTCAGTTGATGCCTCAGAAATTAATACTGATATCGTCGTACCTTCACTTCCTGCAGTTTCGGTTGTCTTACTGATACCATCTTCAATTGGTCCTTTAGAAATTTCAGGAATTATAGAAGATTCCTCACTGATTGCAGGACTGGATGTTTCAGTCTCCTTTCTTTCGTGTATTTCCGGCTGTTCCTCAGTGATTGGTTTCTGAGTTTGTTCCTCCTGTCCGAATAGTTCAGTTGTGACTTTTCCTGGTTGTTCGCTCGATATTTCAGGCTGTTCTGATGTAACAGATTCCGTTGTACCCTCAGTCGGTTTTTCTTCCGGCAAAACAGATTCCAAAGATGGAATATGAGATGTTTCTTCTTCAGGAAGAATTATTGGTTTTTGTGGTTCTTCAATTATTTCCTTCTCTGGTTTCTGCGTTAATTGTTCTTCTGGTTCAATAGGTTCCAGATCTTCTTTGCGATCTGAAGGAATCGAAGGCTGACTTGGTGTATATTCTCCGCTGACGGAAGGCTCAGTCTGCACCTTTTCTGTTTCTACGGTCGTTGTTTCAGTTTCAACTGCAGAAATATCTGTTTGTACACTTTCCGTAGGTGGAGATGCAGAAATCTTTTCGACGTCTTCTTTTTCAATTTCATCTGTTTCCGTAGGATGTTCAATGGGCAATTCTGTTTGTTCGATGCCAGTAATTTCCGTTGGTTTCAATTCTACAGTTTCCTCAAGTGGTTCCTTTTCTGTTATCGTTGTTGTAATTTGTTCTGTACTTTCTGTTGACACGCCTTTCGTACCTTCTGTTTCCTCCGGACCATGAATTTTCGTAACAGCAACTTCTTCCAAAGCTTTCTCTGTAGAATATTGTTCAGGTTGCTCAGTTATTCTTTCTTCGACAGCAGGTACTCGACTTGTAGATTTTTCTTCAGCTTCTATCGTGGTTTGCTCCTCTTTCAAAACAGGTTCTTCGGTTTGTAATTCTTTCTCTTTTTCGCCAATTATGCCAGATGTTGCAGTGGGATGCTCTGTAACACGTTCCTCAACTGGTTTTTCAGTAATTGGTTCTTCTTTTTCAACAGGAATAATTTCAGTTTCTTTCTCTTCAACTTGTGGCACGTGCGTTGATTGCTCAGCAAAGGAAATTACGGTAGTACTATATTCACTTTCCGTTGCATGTTCTTTCTCAAGACCCGAAGGCACTGTCGAATGTTCCGCTGGGATAGATGTGAATGTTTCGGGAGCTATTTCTGGTTCCGTTACGATTGGAGATTGCGTTTCTATTTCCTCTTCCTTCTTTGGTTGCACTTCTTTCTCACCTTTTTCGCTACTGCCTTCTCCAGGAGAACTTTCACCAGATTCTTCAAGTCCTTTTGTAGGTATTTCTTCGCCACTGGGAGACTTTTCCGTTATTTGAATTTCCGTTTGTGGTACTTCGGTTGCTATCTCTTCTGGCACAATCGATTTCTCAGGTACTTCTTCTTCTGGTACTTTCTGAGTAATAGTAGTTGTAGAAGATTCTGTGCTAACCTGAACTTCGGTAACAGCAGGTGTACTTTGCGTTATTGCTTCTTCAGAAACTGTAGTGATTTCAGGTTTACGCTGAGTTGGAAGGTTTATTTCCGTAGCTTCTTCTATCGGCTTCTCGGTTTCTTCCGTCACAATTGGTTTTGCAGTTTCTTCTGACGGAGTTAGCGTGGTCTCTTGTTCTTGCGGGAAATACGTTGTAGGTATTTTCTGCGGAGGTTCAGTCATGAGATTATCGGAGCTAATTTCTGGATGCGTGACACCGTGATAGTCTTCTGTCACATGATACACATTTTCATCTTCTGCTTTCTGTTCTGGGCTTCGTTCGGGAATCGGTATGCCAGTTGGACCTTGAGCTGGAATTTTCGGAGTTGATTCTTCCTCCATATGTGGCCCTTCCGTGTTAATAGGTTCCTCGCTCGTCACTGAACTTTCAGTCAAGCCAGCATCTTCTTTCTTAGCTCCGACAGTAGCTTGTTCCTCAGTTATTGCGTGTTCAGATGTTTCTTCCGGCTGTTTCTTTTCAACCTCGCTTGTCACTGGTTCCTGTCCTTCGGCAGGTTGTTCTGTAGAAGGACCTCTTACGTCAATCGACGGAACATTTTCCGTAACAGCGGTTTCCGTCGCTTCTTCTTTCTCAATAATGATTTGTTCAGTACTGGATATCTCATGAGCGACAGTCACAGTTTCTTCTTCTTTCGGTGATTCCGTTTCCGTTGCTAAGAGTTCATCTGGTATAGTTTCTGGTTTACCTTCATCTGCCTTTGGCTGCTCGCTGACAGATTCAGAAACAGTGCTGGTACCAGGCTCTTCAATTGGCAAAGTTGTCTTTTCAACAATTTCAGTTGAAATCTCTGGTCTTTCCGATGCTTTCGTCACACTAATCTGTCCTTCTTCTGTTGTCTTTTCAATTTCTTCTTGTGTTTGCGTTGATAATTCTTCGTGCGGGCTAGAAGTTTCCTCTTCTTGTATCGGACCTTCAGTCTGAGTTGCTTCACTAACAGAAGGTTCGACCGATTGTCCCTCTTCAGCATGTTCTGTTGTTAACGTCTCCTCTTCGGGTTTCAAGCCTTCCGCGATGGACGAAGTTTCTGGTAATTCAGTGACAGGTGCTTCAGTAACTAAACTTTCTTGAGTTCCTTGTACTGTCGTAGGAGCTTCCGGCTTTGTTGCTTCTATTTCAGAAGGCACTTCCGCCGCTTCTGCTTCCTTCGGTATTATCTCAGCGGGAGAAGTATCGGTAACATGTTCGTGAGAAGGAATGGATTCTTTCTCAACAGTAGTAGTTTCTATTTCTTCTGTCGGTAGTGTTGCGGTCTGTTCTTCAGATGTCTCGGTCGACGAAATGTGTCCCTGAGTAATATGTTCGATAGTTCCTTCAATATTCTTTTCTTCTTCTTCTTCTGGAACCTGCGGTATATTGTTGTCGATACCTGGGAACATTTCTTCCTGAGGATGTTCGCCCTTCACTTGCTGATCTTCCTGGTCAATCAGCATGGGGGATTCGGTTATTTGATCATGTGGTACTTGTTCCGGAAACTGTTGTTCACCTTCACCTTGTACCGTTGTGACTTCTTCTTCTGTAATAAGCATACACAAGTGTATTCTTAAAAGCGTACTGTTTATTGATTAATAACGTTTCTTAGATCGTTGAGTTACGTAATACATTGTAACTATTAGTTATTACGTGAAATTACTTACCACACTGGTATGTGGTCGGACAACATTCTCCTTCCGGTGGCGGTAAGGCCGTGCAATTCTTTCCATGCGCTTGCATCGGCGTTCCACAATTTTGCACCGCGCAAGCGATCTCGCCTCGGAAGCAATAGCAATGCTGGCAAGGTTGAGTGGAGTAAATCAGATCACCATCTTCGTAGACTTTACCCTCGTAATAACATTGAGGTAATACGCCAGGAGGTAGCGTTGTGGTCATGATGAGACCGGGAGTTGGACCAACCGTGGTGCTAGGTTCCTCATCGTATTCTATACAAAGAATTAATAATTGCGGGTATTTTCCAACACGAAATAACACCGAGATTTCACAAGACAACACAATTACTTACCGCAATTGTACTTGATCGGACAACATACACCCGGTTGATAGACCGGTTTACATCCAGCCACTCGTAAAGTACACTCTTGCATGACGCAAGTAGTTCTATTTCTGATGCAGTAGCAAAGCTCACAAGGATTATGATGATCCAACGGTAGCATAGCGCCGTCTGCGTAAAACCTATCGTCGACATGGCAGCCATAATTGTCATGGAAACCAACTTCCGTGGAATCCGGTGCACTCGTTGTTGATGTCAACAGTTGAACCGGTACTTCCGGACAGGTAATCACGGGGCAACATTGATCCGGACGTTTCTCCACCGTGCAATCCTGACCGATCGCTTTCGTGAAGGGGCAGACCTTCAAGTAGCACATCAGCATTCGATTGTGGCATGTGCAGTTTAGACATGGTTCACTTGTCATGATTCTATCGCCTTCTTGATACCGCTGATAATTGAAGTAACATCCACCGGTGGCTAGAGAAATAATTTAACATTAATAAATATAATATTAATATGCCAAATCTCTAAAATCAAATTATATGCGATTGTTATTTTCGTGATATTATTATATTTATCGCGAGATGCAACGAATAAATTCAATTCAGAACAATTTTTATGATATATTTATTATATTATATTTTAATTCGTAATAATCTTTTAATAAAAGGATTCTTAAATTTTTTTTCATATTTATCCTTTAAATTAAAGTACGACGCGTGCGACTTCTCAAACCACGATACGATTAATGTCACGTTGCTGACGTGACGATTGATTAGATGCAATAAAAGCAAGCATGATATACATACTTCCATCGTACTCTGCGATCTGTGTGGTATCCTGGTCATATACCGGCGCTGCAATCAAAGAAACATGACTGTTAGTGCTACACGATCGAGCGCACTACGTACAGGTACGGGCGTGTACGTGAAGTTAAAGTTAATGAAAAGCATAAAATGGGTTTGTGCCGAATAAGCGAAATTTGCAGGGGGGGTGGATGTCAATGCGTCTCCCGCGTGCAGTTTATCATAGTAATTACTAGCGCGACGCGCATTCGTCGTCTCTCGAGGGTGTACCGGGGCTTAACAACGGAACGAGTGGAAGCGTCATATGGCACGAACACACGTGGGCGAATTCTCATTAACACCCTCGTCCCAGTCGTACGAGTTGCATGGTGAGTGCTCACGGAGTAGTGAATTCCATTTGGCTCTTCCTCTCGCGCACAATTCGCCCGGACATTCGTGTACAACAATATCGCGTATCTCCCTTTACAAGTCTATTCTTTTCCTCCGCGACTACGGGCTTTCATAATTTCTTTTTTGAAATTGGAGTGTCGCGCGCAGAACTTTGAGTTCGATTGTTCCTAAAACGGTAGGATATTCTTCTAAAGTACAATCACCGAGATGTTTTCACCGAGAAATCGCACAATAAGCCTTCCCTATACGCTACGTCGATCCCCCCTTATTCTTGTTTTTTCATCTTCGAAGTAGCGTTTAGTTTTATATTACACAAAAGATTCCAAACAACATCTATGCAATGCATACAAGTTTTATGGATAAGAAATATTTTTTTTAGATCTTTATAAAAGATAGCTGACTTATCGGACGTGTAAAAAGATTACACCGTTTTATTGTAATTTATTAATGAATTTATAATTTCCAAGATGTGCAACGTAGACTTTATGAAATATTCGATACATGCGTCTTTTCCAAGAACTCGCTATCCATCAATATACATCAATTTACACACGAAGTTTCACGATATTCGAGAATTAGCATTCCGCGATGCAGGTGATTTCCAGTGAACTGAACTGTACTAGGAAGCGCAACGACGGTTGAATGGAGACTTGGTTATGTCTCGTCAATCCCACGAGCCGGAGCCCGAGCCGCGTGCCTCCACGTTATACGAACCCATCACGTACGCGTGGCCTACCGAGACGATTCTTGTCTCGCACAATGGTCAGACTAAATTATTACGTCGCACCTCGCTTCATGGAGACCACGGTCAAGGTGTCGAGGCTTCGTGTACACGATTGTAATCTCCGTACGTGATCTTCATTATGCGAACGCTTAACTACAACGACGCAATATGATCATTCATTGTACCTAACAGCGGTTGCACTCGCGATAATTAAAAGCATAATTAATCTTACAGAGAGGCGAGGAAACTGAATAAAAGAAGTTTTCCAAGCAGAACAAAAAGTCATGATGATATAAAAATTGCGCCAAAATGATTTTAAAATAAATATTAAAAGTCACTTTTTGATCCATAACGTTATTTTGATATTATCGTGACCTGTTCCACTTGAGCATCGAATAGGTGAGGAGTACCGTGATAGAAAATTGGGAGGAAAGACAAAAATTGTTCGCTGTAATCACTACCGATTCGGTTCTTTCCTAGAATCAACGAAGACTTGTCACATCTTTTGAACGATCCATCAAGTCTTACGACGATACATACCAAAAACCGAAAAACAGCTTTTTGCCGCGCAAGCAAGTATTTTACTCGCTTCTTCATCCGTAAACGATAAATTACCGTCGACGGCCTAACGGGACGATCATTGAGCGCGTACGACCGGGAGATGCTGACAAAAAATCACGACGTATTTCGACTATGGTAAGAGAATTCGCATCGTGATGAAGCACAACGATTTCGATCGTCGATCTACTCAGTTTTTGACACTTGTTTCTTATCCATTCGAAATCGAAAGGCGTGAATTACCTCTCATAAGAAGCGCAGTGAGAGTCGTCCAATAAATCTCACGCGGCGAGATAATGTTCCGTTCTCCGGATGCAAAAATACAGTTCCGAATAAAACACGTCGTATAAAGCCGCGCGGAAGTGCATCGGTTAAGGTACGCTCTAAGGCAAACCTCTCTCTCGGTGTACGTAGAACGCAGACTCTAAATCAATCTTGGTCGCATAGAAAAAGGGCAACATGGGAGTTTATCGGTATCAACAATAAACGCATCTTCCCTCCAATATAATTTCTGCACGCGAGATTTATGCGTTCTTCGGCCGCCTCGTAATCGAGGACAGAGGATCGCGCTTATACACACGCGCGTGCGCACACACACGCACGCACACATGCACGCACGCACGCACACACGTATATACGAGGTGTCTAATCTCGAGGAGTCGCGGGGAGTCATTATGTAAGTCAACGTACCGCCGAGTCCTCCTGTTTCCTCTCCGTGTGCCGTTTCCCCTCCCGCAATTGTTTCGCTCCCGCTTCCGAGGGCGACCCTCTTGATTCCTCCCGCAACATGCCGCGACCTTTCTCCGCGTCTGAGCGCGTACGCGCGCGCGAACAATGCTGTTACACGCTGCAGCGAACAGGAGAACACGGGGCTGTTGCGCTCGCGTTATGAAATCATTCCCGGCGGCCTTGCCTCGCGAAAGTTCATTACCATCAACCGCGCACGCTCGGATGAACACCTGGCACCGCAGCCAGCCTCTGGCGTATTGCGTGCACGAAATTCTGCATTACGCATTCTCCAAGGTCGCGGTTTCCTCCGTTGCGCGCTCACCAAGCAAGACAACTCTCTTCGCACACACTGATGAAAAAGATAATGAAACAATTTCGTTCCTTCGTGTATATATGTGTATTATGCGTTTGTACACATACATGCATACATACGTGAGATAAAAGATTTGTCATGACGGAACTTTCCTCGGCAAAGTCCATCCCGCGTAAAAGATCGTCAGCTACATAACTCTACCGAAATTAATTCAGACTATGGAGAAGAAATGATGCCATCTGTTCGTATCGGCACGATTATTAATGTCAATGTCATGGATATCGGGAAGGTAGCGCCGTGGAAACCTCGCCCGACCGGTTCTATGGCGTAATACGCGCCGTACTGTTTCTAGCGTGGAGTCCCTTTCGAGGACAATCATAAATTATATCCTCCCAATCACATGGGATCGAGTTCATTGCCACTTCCTACATTATGATGCGAGTCCGCGCGCCGTTAGGTCCGGTAATGAGAATAATTCCCGACTCGGGAAAGAAACGCTCGTTTCCGATAAGGGGCTCGAGATCTTTGAACTCGCGATTCACTTCGTTGCGCGAGAATGTTTCATATGTACGATTGGATCTAGCGGACGTTGAACGCGACGGCGCCGGCGCGGATATCGTCCTCAAATTACCGCCTTGCAAAAGCGGAACACCCATTTTCCAAAACGGACTGACGCGACCGATTTAATCCGTGTCACGCTGACGTTGCACCCACGCGTTCCGTTATACCCTTCGTCGGATGACCGCCGCTGACCTCACCATCTCAGTAAGTAGTCAAGAAAGGTACATAGACGATAGAGAAAGAGAGAAGAGCTGTGAAGAAGAGTACGCGCGCGAGGACGAGGGAGTGGAGTCCTCTTACGACGTACCGGTTACAACGGGTCCTTTCTATACCCTCTTACCGCGCGAGAGCTCTTCCTCGTCTAAATTGACGGCACGGAATTTATTCGCGCTCACTATCAAGAATGCATTAGATCGCCTTAAAATCATCATTGTTTTTCTCCCATGCAAGATTTCACGATATATTGAGATTTATCTCGGACAATCTGATTTAATTCGCGCGTAATTTGGAGGAAAGTATTTAGATGTGTAGAAGGATCTTTTGTGCAGATTTATGAATCAACTCGTACAATTACTTCTCGCGTAAGACACTCGAGCAAATTTAATATGTGCTGTAACTGTATGCAGTCTTGTGTAACATATATCTCGACGAATTTTTATGCGCTCCGCGCCGCGCGTGCAATGCCATCCGGATTCTCCTCCGCGCGCCGTTGCGACGCGAGAGAGTATATGATGATGCTTGACGATAACGACACTTCGCCAGGCATTAAGCATAAATATGGAACGTCTTAGGGGTCAGACACGACTCCGGTAGACGACGTACGTGGATCGTAAGTGGCGAACAGTGAGGTACGCGGTCAGTGACATCCCGATGTGGGCACGTCGACTGATTGCTCCGCAGAGCTTACAGGTTTGACCAGAATTCACACAGCATCGCGAGGATGCAGCCGATAGAGGAACCGCTACACGGAGGATCGTGCCGAGACACTATTTTTTTCCTCCATTGACTTCAGACTTAGATCCATCTTTCAGGTACTCCGAAATTGACTCCTCCGCTCTACCGAGGAAATAAATTTTAATGACTCGTATTTCTTGTTTTTCCTTCTTGTTCTTTTTTCTCTTCTCTCTTTTTTCAACGCTGATGCAAGAAACATTTTATATAAAAAGGAAAAAAAGAGAGAAAATTAAATGAAATTCACGAGTTTATTCCTATCAATTGTTCACTAAATATATACCATAAATTCTGGCTAAATGTGACACAACGATTTAATTTAGGAATTCCAATTATTTACTGAAATGATATCTACGATGCTTTGCCTACTACTGTCATATTTTCGATCGCGCGCAATAATGTTAAAATCGTGTAAATATGTAACAATTTTAATTCGGGCGTAAAAAAAGCGCAATGGGGGACTTGCTTGTCTTTCGTCGTAATGCAATCTAATGCATTAAATATTATACATTCTGATAATTTCGAAACAGCGGACTTGAGAGGAAAGCTATTGTTAAACGCGTAGTAATATAAGACAACGAGTAAACGCTTTTTTCCAAGAAAAACCTGTTGCCTCTCAAAGTCGGCGATATTGCTGATTTCCTTTGAATGCAAGCATCTCGCAAATGCTCGCTGCGTCCCAAGGAAGATACATAATCCAGTAAAACTTGTCCGCCGTCTGATGGATCACCGGTGATCGAACGCGTCGATCTCGATCGTCCTTGCTATCCGCTCGAGAAAAGCTCGAGGAACAAAAAGAATATGAGCGTGCATGCGATAGAGAGTCACAGAATCGCCTAGCGATTCCCGAGAGGAAAAAAAAAGAACGAGGATAGACACGCCGGGTGAGTCGCGGAATTCAATCGATCCCGTCCATTTAACCACACCTGCTCTTCGCTGAAGCACCGACGGCCGATTGATGAAGGGGAGAGGCAAAACTGACGCATCTTCAATAAGCCTTCATTGACGATGCAACGTTTTTGCACGTCGTCATGTTCATAGTATCATGCTTTTCCGAGAACGCTCCTACATCGGTCGATCGACCGATCGAACGATCGATCGATCGTCGTGAGCGCTCGTGCGAAATAGGTTCGCCTTCTTTGCGGCCTCGCGACCGCAAGATGCGAAATTACTTTCTCGAATAACGAATTACGAATCCTTTTTCTATCGATACCGAAGCGCGTTTTACGAATTTGCGGTCGATTACCGCGGCGTAAATCTATCGCGCGGTTTTTCTGCTCCCCGGAAATAATTTATGACATGAGCGATGACAATTGGAGGCCCCGTTCTAACTGGATCGTCTTCTTTTGATATCAGTACCAGGCAGTGTACCCTCGATAGAGGTCCAGAGAGGTCGTACCGTTTTAAACCAGCTCGACGTAAAGGGAAGAAGCTCGCGGAACATCGCAGAACGAGGTTCACGATAGGGAAGGAGGCGACCGACCGCCTGAAGGCGACCCGAGAGTGGTTCGAAGAACGAATATGGTGTGCCAGGTCCATGGGAAAGCACCTTGGGCCTCGACACGACCGATGCCAGAGGTGAGCATTATGAGGTAATGCTCTCCCCCGTTGCCAGAGAGGAAGGGAGACACGCGGATAGGTTCGACGGCCTGACAGAACGTGGCTCGCTCATTCAAACATTGGCTGGCCGACTCTGCGTTTAGTCACACCAGACGGTACAAGAAAGACGATCGCGGAAGTGATCGTCTCGTCTCTCGACTCTGATTTTCAGATATTAATTTCAATGCACGGCGTATATACGCGCGCGCCGCATTCACGCCCGATCTAAGTCCTATCTATCGCACTTCTATTCTGATCTCGAAAAATGCCGCGGCTCGACTCTATCTATATCGCCGAGATGCCGTACTTTAATAGAATCACTCTTCTTTCGCCTTTCAATAATAAAAAAAAGCAGTTTCCATCGTGAATGCAATAAAACATACCCGAGTTACGAAAGACTTTTCTCATCCTCACCCGAGATTACTTTTACTCTCTTTCTCTTTGCTCTCTATTACCGCAATATGCAACTTCTTGTCGGTATTCCGCAAGGTGTAAAAAGAGTAAACACCACATCAACGTGGAAACAAAAACTTTTTTTTATCATAACTCCAGCGTATTTTGCTACATTTATGGATGGCATTTATGGACGATCCGGTGGAATACAATCTGGCTTCGGGCAAGCCGCAAGCAGAAATAATCCGATCGCGTCTTCTCGGGAGAGCGAAAATATTTCTTGCCCGTCTACCTCTTATTTCCTCGTGGGAGTCCGCGCGTTCACGGTCTCTCTATCAAATAAATGACTCACGTTTTGTACAGCGGCTCAAGCGTGTCCAAGGCGTTGAAGCCAGACGAAAGAAAGGGAGCTAGAAGTACACCGAGGTATTTCTGCAAAAACTCACCAGAATGCGTGGATCGTGACGCCAGCAGTAGGACGGCGGCCAGCCAGAGGATTATCCCGCGTCTACAAAGCGCGGCGTTCAACGCCGACATGTCGGCACTCTTCTTCCGTACCCTGTAACACGTAAATGATGCTTTCGTTAGCTTATATTATCCGTGTGAACGTAAACTAAGCTTTGGTCTCTTGTGTGGCTACGTGATCGGGGGAAGGGGGGGGGGGGGAAAAGTTGATTCAAAATCATTACGAGATTTATTTAAAGTTTGTGTTATTTGTTACTTTTAATACAAAGTGTAGCAGAGTTCTCTCTGTCTTCATTTAAATATAATTAAAATTCGTTTACTTTATCGATTATTCAACAGTCATCAGTTGCCAATGAATAATATTAAAATGCTCTAACGTAAACATGGATGGCGCCTTATATCGATCACCCTGTATTATTACATCACAAATGCAATCGCTCGGCTTGGATTCAAAACCTACTCAAACGACTTTGAGAATTGTTTCGCGTTATCCGCGTACACGCGAAAATATAACGAGCCATTATACGCTTATCTATTCCATCGTCAAGTGGCTTAAAGGTGTATCTATCTCGTCATTCTACCATATACAACTCTCACCCTGATCTGACAGGATGACAGCTGGACGGATACAGTGGTCGCGCTTGAAACCGAGACGCATCTCTGCACTTTGACCGATCGCTTCTCGCGAGCCTGATGTATGCTGCACGCAGCTCGACTAATTGTAAGTACAATGTACATAATTAAGTAAATATTAATTATGTAAATGAACATATATAATATTAAAGCCGCATAAAGCATATAATGTATTAATAATTATCTATCACCGTATGTCTATGTTGTATAGTCGCAGCATCAAGAAAGCAGTCAGTTACGAGAAAAAGAACAGAGTTAATCGGTTAAACGCTATAGAGAGAGAATTAATCGGTGTTGGTAGAATTAGCCTTAAGGTATATAATGTATCACGCGGTGTCAAGACGCGAAATTCGCGACGCGAGAAAACATTTGACGCATTCGCGTCGCGGCGGGAGGCTAAATGCGATTCGTCTGTCTACCTGGAGCGTGAGCCGGCTATGAGAGGCGTGGGTGCGTGGGAATGAGCACGCGTGTTTGCACGAGCCCGCTGTGTGCTCAACCTTCTCCGTTCGTACTGCTGGCCAGCGGGATGGTGCAGACCTGCTCGCTCGCCCGATAAGGGAATAGGCGCGCGAAAAAGCGCATGAGCGATAAAAAAAGATTCATAATGAAAGTTCGATTTTCAAGTGGGCGCTATAAAATTGAATGTCAGCGTGTTTGCATTCCTCCGTTCCGAATGCGAAAGGAGGAAAAAGGAGGAGGTGATGATCGTATCTGCGGGTTCTTGACCGAAAGAAATTACTTAGGAGCGCTGACTTAGCTGGTAAACGCGATAAAGCAGGGGGAAGAGGAGGAGGCGGAGGAGGAGGATGAGGAGGAGGAAAAATAAGAAGAATCTCCGGGCAGGAAGAAAAGGAGGACTTTGGCGAAGCCGGCGGCGCATACCAACCGTGCGACAGCGGCCTAATACAAAGCGGTACCGAGATAAAAGAGAGAAGCGCGCGCGCGCGAGAGCGCGTAGGTAGTTTCTCTTCTACCTGTCGACTTCATCTTTTCCCCTACGTATATTTCCTCCTCTGCCACTCTTCCCCCGGCAACATCCACCGGCAGCTCATTGTAGTTCAGAGAAGGAGGACGAAAAGAGAAGAAGAAGAAAAAGACGAAGAGGCGATGCGAGAGAGTCGCGACACCTAAACTCGCGCTCGCTCGTTAACGTCCGTTTCATGCTAGCCGCGCCGTAAATTACATCCCGGCCGATCGTAATGAATCTCGCGCCAATGGATAAGTCCGCGAGATATTTCTGCGCTATGAACCGCGCCAGGACACGGACATTAGCGTGCCGCGATGCGTTGAGACTATCTGGTCGAAGCAACGGGGACCCCTTACGTCATTGCGTATTCACGGTACGGCCCATTGAACAGGGGAATTCGGTGAATGGGTACGAGAGCGCATACCGCTAATACGCGCACGCACCTCTATAGCTTCAGCCCGAGCGTTGGACCAGAATCAAATTACGTGAGTAATTGTGGAGAAATATGAATTTCTTCCACGAACTTTACAAGTGAAATAGTCGGAGCTGTTCGTTGGAGCTTCTTTTATTTGCGGTAATCTGTGATAATTTATAGTTTCTAAATTTGCATGGTCTAGATATTCTTATTTTATTTCACATGCAATATGCACACATACGGATTTAAAGTCATCCAATTCTGTCTTCAAGATACAACTTAAATGTCACATCTCTACTTTTTCACCAGACAGAATTTTAATAAATCAAATCTTTAGAGGTGTTAAGGAAAGATTTATTAACAATATACCCGGAGCGAGCCATTAATCTTTCTTAATTTTCATGCCTTTTCATTACTCGGCTGTTCTTCCAAGAAGTGGCTCCCGATAAGAGACCGCATTTCTTCCATATCTCACGTTCGGTGGGTGCGTGCGGGCCGCGTTTGCAACCCAGAAACGACACACCCGTACGGTGATGCGTTGTGAATGGAAATATCGGCCCGGCTCCATTCCGGCACCGGCTGGTGTCTCCGTCTCCCTCCTTCCCCTCTTCCTTCCTCGATCGGCACGATCGGCATTCACGTCGATTCACCCTGATTCGTCGCAAGGTGCATTACTTTCCATCTTGCTCCGTCCAGGAACGAGGCGGTAGGCGCGTCCATCGAACCGAGACTAATTCCACTTGCGCTCTCGGTACGGCCGCGCCGCGACGGAAGGCACCGTGTCTTCGGGTGCACGCGTTTATAAAGCGCGACGCGCGTCCAAGTGCATCGGCGCGGCGGCGCGGTCGCGTCCGGCCTGCACGCAGCGTGTTTGTCGCCGATAAATTTGCGTTCGATTCGGTCGTAATTGCCGGCGATGACGTCTTCCGGTTGTAGCACGCGCTGACGACCACCGATCGTACGTGCTACGTATGCACACGCTGAAAATCATCGACTCTCCGGATCCTCTTAACTTGCGGGCTCGAGTGCCCGCTCATAACGGGATCCGCTCCTCTCCGAGTTGTCGATTATAATTTACTGCGGTTACATGCGAAATTATTATATTCAAAATATAGAGAGATGGTTTTCTCTATTCTCTAAATATTTGAGATCTTGTACAATAAGTCCAGAAAAAAATCGCTATTTGTTACATATTTTTCACAAATACTATTGGAGCTCAAATAGATATATTTATTTCAGAAAGAATTCCTACAAAAATTCGCTTATTAAAAATGATGTAATTTTTATAAAACTAAAGAAAAAAGTAACTAATCGTATTTTAAGAAATATGTAGAAATATGTATATGTAAAGAAATATGCTAATGTGCCTTTTGATTCTCTTCTCAAGTAAGCTTATATATTTAGCGAGCATAAATGAACACAGCATAGGTAATTTGTATTCAATCCAGTCATAATAGTCGTCAACCCCCTCTGGTTTCTTGGTACTAATACTCTGAAGTGATGCTGTGGTATTGTTGAGAATAATTTACGAGGAACTTGAAAAAACGGCAACGAGGACGAACGGCATCGCCGACAATGTCGAGGTGAGGAGAGGCATGTCCGATTTTACTTTCACGCTCACGATAAATTACGTCGGACGAGGCTCAAGAGCAACGAGAGTAATACCACTCCCGGCAACAACAACGAGAGCGAGCAGTGCGTTAAATGCGGAGTAAGGCGGACGCCTCTGCTCTAATTAATGCATTAATTAATGCGTCGTGATTATCCCGCGAGTGATTAACGCGCGAGCGTATTACTCTCCGACTCGTTCATGCTGAGGTAATCATCAGGCCGAGTAATAACAGCAACGATCGCTATCGAGCTCCTGCAACCGCAACGGGATCCTTTTTCACGTGCGGTTTCCAGCCGCCGATGGCGGGGTATTCATTGAATTGTGGATAGCAGCAAATTAATTGTTATTAGCGTTCGCGTTGTACGTTGCCGGCCGGTGCCAGCCCGGCCACGGCTGGCCTGGTCACGAGGTCAGGTCAGGTTCAGAGGCTAGTCCGCCTTGTCCGCGCTTAGGAACAAGATGGTAACGATAACGATCGCGGGGCGTGGAGAGAGACGTTGCTTGCCGGAGATAACAGCCGGTCGTGCGATAATTGCGGCAGCATAGGAGTTTGGCTTTAGAGAGGGTATAGAGGCGCAGCTAAGCTAAGGTGCACCCACGGGTCCGACACAGAGGCCGGGGTGCAGGCTGGTGGCAGAGGTTCCGTTACGGCCCGGAGGCTGCGTTCGTTCACCATTATCGTGGAACGCGGAATATGATTACCTTCACCTGGGAACAAACTCCTTATATACAACCGACCGGCAAAGGAGACCGTGGGCGAAGTTCGCGTCGTGGATACCGTGTCCCGGTTTTACTCGCCGTCCGCGTTCGCTAATCAGATTGGAACCTAGTTGGATCGACCGACTTTCAGCGAGGAGACGCATTATCGCCGCCGCCTTAGAATCGGCTCGGCGGCTCTAATCTGCATACAGAGCGATTGAGCATGGGTATTTTGGCGCTTGTCGTCGTCGGCACGTGCAGCTAATTTGATCACGCGTCTCGCACGCTGCACATTATGCAAATCCGCATTTCGATAACCGGTGTGCGTGCGTGCGTACAAGCGTGCGTACATACATATATGTACATGTGTGCATGCGCGCGAGTGAGCGAGCATTTGTGCGTATGTAGTTTAAAGAGCTGATATAACGCAATCGCGCGACGCGAACATATCAATTTATAGGAACATAACGAAGTATACACATTTCTCGTAAAAGAGCTGTTTAATCTCGCGAGTTTTCCTGTTACCGCCATGCCTCGAAATGCCCCGCGTTGAAAATTTTGAAATTGATTTGTACAACTGCAACATTGTTTTATTTACGACGTCCGTGCGAGTAATGACGCGGTTAACAATTTATGACAACAAATGCCCGGCGACTGAAAGCGCGTACTTCCGGCAAGGTGGTACTTCGTACGCGTTGGTATCGTACGAGTCGGGGAATGAATAACGGACCTGTCCGCCTCTCGTAAAAGGGATATCCGATGCTCGAGCCGCCGACGTGCTGCTTCATCTTCTTTGAGGACTACGCGAGTTTCGACGACTAAAAACCCGATAATTGACAGCGCGAGTACTAGTCCATCTCGAGCGCTTTATTGGCATAACAGTATGTCGGTCTGGCATGCATCAATAATGCATCGTGTCCTTGAGAGAGGTATAGAAACGAGTATATATCACAGTACCTACATAATTTGAGATTCTCAAATTAATATAAAATGTCTACACATTCTACATATTTTACAACATTTATATTACATTGGCAAGAAGACTTTGGTCATTACTTTTCGCGTGAGAGAGTTATGTGGGAAAAAAACGAACGATTTTCTGGATGACAAACTTTGACTAATGTCGAGAGTCAGACAGCCATCGATAAAATCGGCATGCCAAGAAAACGAGGAATCTTCGAACGAGTATAAAATTACATAGCCGCGTACAAAGAATATTGTGAGAGACACGATCTCTACTTTGTTACCGGTACTGTACGATGATCTCTGGTCTTTAGCGGGACATGGTGCAACAGTCGTAATTTTAGTTCCGTTAATAGGAAGGCGCTTTGAATGCCGGCGCGAAGGAAGTTGGAATAAGGATCTCGCGCAGGACGAATTCACGTATCTGATACGGCGAATCTCGGCAAACGGAGGGAGCGGCGCGAACACACGTGCATACAAACGTAGCGCCCACGTTTTTAGTTTACGACTGCAAATAGAATCGAATGACTCGCGAGATTAAAGAGGCGAGTTCGTAGTGTATCAAACGCATTAATTACGAGTGACGCCGTGCAGATTGCGAAACGAACGATGAAATTTCATGACTCTTTCATCATTAGAGATATATTCCCCAACCTTCGTTCACGGTCTGTCCCGGGGAAACTCTCACGAGTTAATTACGAAAATTGGCAGGGAAATACTTGTGCCGTATTCTTCCCTATTTTCCTTTTTTCTCTCCGTCTCTTCCTTTGTTTCTCGTATGTATCGCATGCCGCGTTACATATGGTCGCACGCCGAGTTTGGCGCTCGAGGAAACCCTCGCGCGGTCCGTGAAGAGGTGACTTCCGCGTGCCAGGTAAACTGAACAGTCTCGGCGTGCAACCGAGCCGGCGCGCGCGACGGCAGGACAGGGACAGGTTGACGGCGAGGACCTTGTTACGCGATCATCAGCGGGCAATCTCTCTCGAGCTTGAAACTGACCGTTGCTGTTTGGAGAAGTCCTCGAGACGCGAGAGATCGCGAGACACGAGAACTCTGACGACCCATGTCCGTGCTCCGTCCTCATATGAAATTTCACTTGTGTGCGTTATAAGACGCGTCGCGCACGCATTTCCACGTAAGCCACGTAGGTCGCATGTTCCTTGCCGATTACACGGTGGTCATCGTTGAAATTCGCAGCGAGGTTTGCGCGCGGAGCGGTCATTATCGCAGGAATGCTCGGCGCGAGGCTGTTCGGTGCGCGCAGAACACCGAATGCCCGTGATCGTGTTTGGAGTTTCTCCGAGGCGATTATATTGCGAGTTAAGGGACTATCGAGTATTCATTACGCCTAATGACCTCTCCCAGGCGCGCGCGGCTCGGCTCGGCTCAGCTCGGCTGATCGGCGCGAGTGCTTTTGGGCACGAACGACCGGTACGTGAGGCGGCGGCGAGGAGAGAAGGCACTCTCGGAACAACGGGGTTCGATTACTCAGGGCCCCGACGTTCACACGAGGGTGCTCTCGAGCAACAGGTCAGCAACACGTACACGGCCTCTATTTATAAACCTACCTGAGCTAGAATTACGCGCTGCACAGGATAAACCACCCGGACTCCTCGTGTTCCCCCGCGGTCCCCCGACGGCGCAACCCTCGCCCATATTAGGGCCGTTCGCGTTTGCGGCGCGGCGCGGCGGTTCGCGTTTTACCTGCTGCTAATCTCCGAGAATTTCACGCAGTCGCTCGGAACGCAGCACGGTTTTGTGTTTTACCCGCCGGTTTCCGCGAATACAGGAAGGCGTTCAACCTACTCCTCGCCACGGATTCTTTCCGGTTTGTGACAAATCCTTGTGAATTATCATTAATTTCTTTTAGCGCGTTTTAGAACGCGCTCTGTTAAAGACGCTAACTTAAATGGACCATGAAAAAATGGGGTTAGAAAAGTGCTCAAGGACGCTTGAGCTAAGCTTATCTTCAAAATAATCAAGGCAAAAAAATCGCGACGATACGATACAAATCTCCTTTGTAAAAAAAAGTTAAATACTTTTCGGTACTGTGTCGAAATATTCAGCTAAAAGTAACTTTCCGATATATGGGCTAATCGATTTTCGTATAATAAATTCGTTTATCCCATTTTTTATAATGCCAACCGCTCAACTGTGCTATGAGAAACTCAAGAGGACCCATTGTGGTGTAGAGCATATGTAACGCCTATCATCCGCTGGTCGCGATTGAAACGTCCCCTCGATCGATTGATCGGTCGTTCCATCGATTGCTGGTTCGCTCGGCAGCACGTAATAACGCGCATTATCGCAAGATACGCCTCTTCATCGATATCGTAATACCTCATAGAAAGACGCATCTTCCTCGCCTACAACCTCACAAGATACGTATCTTCCTCGTTTTTCTTTTTTTTTATCTCTGCTTCCTCTCTTCACATTCCCGTCAAACGCGCAGCTAATAAGCGTATATACATTTGTACCGATCAAAGATTCTACTTTCGATTACACTCTTTTCAAGGCGCTTGCACTAATAATTTATGCTAACTTGGACATTAATAGAACATTTTTTAATAAATAATACTTTTATACTCTTATTTTTTACAACAAGGGAAATAATAATAATATTAGCTCTTTTTTTTATCAGCGTTGAACTTATTTCAACAGATTTCGTCGTATATTGTCTATAAAAATTAATACTAGATCGAGACATTTTGTTTCATCGTAAAATTCTGCTAACAGAGTTGCTGATCTTGATAAAATACATTAAATATATAATCGAACTGCAAACTGTAAACACGTTCACTTTCAAATATCACAGAATATTGCATAGCTTTATTCATAAGCCTCTGCGCAATTAACTAAATATTAATACCGCGCGCATAACTCGGCTGCAAAGTTATTTACAATTCTTACGTTCGTTCAGGCTCCGTACACCTGCGTATATCTCGGACATGTATCGAAGAAGAAAAAAAACTAATGAAGGTGTAATCTCATCTTCCTCGTTCGTCCGTCATGCTTCCGAGTTTCTTAGCTGATACGAAACCGACGTACTTACATGGTTCGCTCTTCGTTTTCTCCTTCATTCTGAAAAAATTCACGCGCTGCTAAGCAACTTCCGTTTTGCCTCTTATTTCGTTTTCCCTTTCCGTGGTATTTAAACTCTCGTCCATACCAAGCTCTTCGTTTTCATTTTGTTGCGCTTTGTTTAACGCATTTATTAACATTAATTTTTTTCTTTTTTTTGAGAATATTATTGATATTAAAGATAACGTTAAGTTTATAAAGATTAATATCCTATCTTCGTCTTCTTAACTATTGACAAATGATTTTATGACGATACTGCTTCCTTTTCCATGTGATAGTCTTTTCCTGTTCGTCGCGCCATTTACTCAGGAACGGGCCCTTTGAGAGCAAACCCCACGGAGCAAGCGGCAAGTTTCCAGCGAGAAATGCCACGCTCGTGTAAACACGAAGAAGATCTCGGGAATGCAACGACTTCTTCACGGATAATCCATAAGTGGCTGTTTTGTCCGGCACGTAGTGCCCATTCTCGTGCCGCATTTTCGTTACACGTGCTCCTCTGCTAAATATAATTGTTTCCACGGAAATAGGGTAAGATATAGTCAGAGTCTATTAAACTACGTTTTCAATATGCATGTAATACCGATTAGAATTCTATTAGATTACTTTTATAAAATAAATGTGTGTTATGTCGCGATGAAAAAATTAGTACTAAAACTAAAATAAAAATTATTTTTTAAAAGTTAAAAAATAATTCGACTTTCTAATATATGTATAGTACAAATAAAATATGTCATAATAAAATTTAATATGAATGACGCGTTTAATATGAATTATTAGTACTGGTACTTTCGTCTCGGCGAGGCAATTACGTCGATTAGACGTACTTTAACCATCATCGATTACCGCATAAGAAGTCCACGTGAGATCGAAAGCTGATGTGCGTGGTAAATTATTATCGCGGAGAGTAATCGTTAATCGAAGATCAGAATGGTGTCGCCGTCACATTTATTGGCAGGAAGATCATCGCGAGTAATCACAAAGTTTAGGGCGCGCTCAATCGCGCCAGTTCACATCAGGCCACATAATAACAGGAAGACATGCTGCGATCACGGTAATTAAAACACGGCACGTTATAATCTTCAGCCCATTAAAGCCCATCAATTACGCGCACCCTTTCCCCAACAAGCAGCAGCATCCCATGCTTGTCTGCGAGGCGCATAATTCAGGATGATGCTCTCGCGATAATGGCCGTTGGGCTGGACCGAATGAGTCGATAGATTCTTGGAAAGGCACGCAATTTAATGGACCAGTCGAAAATTCCAACGCGATGAATCTCGATTAGAATTTTTTTGCATCCTCGGATAACGTCCAGCCTGCAGCTTAATCGCATCGCGCGTCGCGATGATCCTTTTTGCACGCCCTCGATCGTGGGCAAAATTTCCAACGAGTTACGCGTTACGGCATCGCATCGATGAATATGTAACGCGCCATCGTAATTACGGCGGAACAATATCTTCGATCTGAGATTCTGAACGTTCAGCAACGGTACCCGCTTAATTATCGTAGGAACATAATCGTGGTCGTTTAATCAAACGTATATGTAATATCGCCAACAGAGAGAAATCAGTACATCCTGCTAACAGTAACCTCCGGCGGAATGAAATACGATTAATCCCACGTATTCTATTTTACGCTCGTTGTATCGCGTGGCGTCCCAATAGCGATAAACGAATGATATATTGCGCGGTAGATACGACGAGGAATCTCCTCCTTGAAGCCCGACCTGCCCGAAGAAACAATGCTCCGGATCTAACTCTGATGACCAAATGAAGGCGTGGTTAGCTCAATGAACTGTGTTAATGTAACATACGTTTCGAGCCTAAGGCACGACCAAGTAAACTGGTATCCATTCTTATTCCTTTCAAGAGAGATCCAACGTGTCTAAGCGTTTCGCGAATAAAGGAAGCGCGTGAGATGCCGCGTGTCCGCTATCTTTCCGTTCTGTTAATCGTTTGCCGATTTCCTTTCAAAGATGTCGGGGATCATCCTCGAGCCTAATCGAACGCCGCGCGGATGTACTGGTTAATGCCTGATTATTCCCGCGCCGGCTGTCGATGCACCTCTTCTCTTCCTTCCTCCGTTGTTCGCGTTTTCGCTAAGAGCCGGTTCGTCCGCTATCCACCGCCACCGCCACCGCCACCGCCACTGCCACCGCCGCCGCTGCCGCCGCCGCCGCCGCGATATTATTGGTTGCCGTAGCCTGGCTACAATCTCAAGGAGCGGCGGAAATCGCCCGTTATGAGGAGCACCGGTGATTAATTATTATGCAAACTAGCGGTACCGACATTCCCCGTCCTTTGGCGTATTCAGGCGGGAGATGCCGACGCCGCCGCGCCGCCGCGACTGCTCGGTATTCTAACGTAACACGGCGAGAACTGCTCTCTACGCGAGCTTTCATCGGCCCGATTGCCCAACGCTACCATCCATCCATCCATCGCGTGATGTTAGCCTCTCTGTGGTTAGGTATCATTTTGCACCTATCAAATGAGAAGCTCTGCCGCGCGAGGCCCGATCGACTCCAAATAGCGTGCGGCGTGGCAAAATGGTATGATAATTGTCTCTCGAGCAGAAATGTAAACGTATTAGATGTATGTAAATAGGGTTGTCGGTGGCACTGCTATCGATGGAATTCGCCGTCGTCATTCTTTTAGATTAAGTGACGGGTACGGAGTATACGATCGAATGTATATACTCCGAAAGAAAAAATTCAGTTTATAAGTGCTCTATTATTTTACGACGGCTTATAAATACGTTACGTATGTAAAATAATTTTTTTCCAGGTGTTACTTTCATCATAACATTATAGTGAACGAGAAGTTCGTTTCACTTTTTTTTGCTAAGTAATAGCATTAATATAAATATAAAAACGGAATGGATTTTTCCATTCAACCCAATATAATGAATTATTTATATCCATTGTCTTCGACAATATCAGAATGTCGATTGGACGTTTCGAGTATGGTGGATTATATTACGGCACTCTCCTGAGAATCTATATCTTAATATCTCCTCGAATCTCAGTAAAATATAATGGGAGGCCCAAGACCTGGTGGGAGGGTCCATGCAGAAAAAACACCAAGGAACATGAAGCACGAATGACCGCGGATAAGTAATCGCAAATATTTGCCGACACGCTCGCGCCGCGGGATCGAATGCGGAAATTGTCGGTCGCGTACGTAGACCCTTGATTTATGCGGTAAATAATTGCCAAATATAATGAGCCGACGTGACATAAACATGTCTCTCCCGTATAGTGCGATAACTATCAGCAGATGTCGATAACGTCGCGATGCGAAGCATACGGGCTCCACGAACCGCGTCCCATAATTCTCAAGAAAATAGTAAAAGCGGCCCGGCGAGCCGGACGCGCCTAAGGTTATTACCGTGATAATTTTCCAGACGAGCAAATTCATGGGCTCCTGTCTTATAAGCTAATCCTATAGCTTATCAGCCTATCCGATATATTTTTCGATTGTTCATAATTAATATTCTCAACGCGCAGATCTGGAAATCTGGTTACACTTCGCGTGGAATCTGCCGTCGTTAGCGCGGCCAGCTTTTAAGGTAGATACGTGAGCCTATACCTCCCTTAAACACAGCCTATCTCGGCATGCCGGTTACGCCCAGCAGAAGCGCAGAATCTCATGCAAATACGCCGCGGTGTATATAGAAGGGCGGAGGGCGGGGGGGGGGTTCTGAAGTAATTACAATAATAATGGCAGTCATAACAGCGTGTCGCCCTGCGGACGAGGCGAACGCCATGCCAAGCGAGCGAGCGAGTCGCCGCGCGTGGGAGCAGAAGTCTTTTTCCTTCGCCCTCGATGTGCCTGTGTACACATCGGGAAACTCACCAGGTTGGTGTTCATCGCTGGCGCAAGGCGTTCATCGCCTGTTTGCCTTGCGTTTACACGGAATCCCTGAAACACAGCCGAGTTTGCTTTTGGGCGCGGCGCGATGCGACGCGACGCGGCAGCGCGGAGCGTCGTGGTACCGTATGAACCGGAAAAGCGGAGTCCTTTAACACAAGTCGGGGTGCCACGCCACTTAGCGGGGAATCGACGTTGAACAAACACCCGATGGTGCCCATGGGAAAGTCTTTCGGATTTCAATCGTACAGTGGAAGTGCATTCAGCGCCGGCAAACGTTTCTTCCTTCCTTCCTTATCCATTTCCGATTGCAGATACGGAGGATTTGATAAAGCGTGCCTTACTCAGCGAGAAGTTTACGAGAACGTTATTATAATTACAGATTTGTCGAATACTATTTCCACACGGTAAATGATTCGGAAAATTCCACGGAGGGGGTGACCTCGGCGTGCAAGATTTCCGCGTAATACCGAGGTGAAGGAACCATAATGACGGGACAGCGCGAGGAGGGCAGGAGGCGCGCGTTTGAAGAAACGGTGATTCTGTTCCCTGCCAGGAGGAGACACGCGCATCTGTGCCTGCCTGGACTTTACCGAAGTAACACGCTCGATGGCCTTAGCGAGTCACGATAGTGATTTCTTATACGAGGTTTCCAGATCGACCCGACACGACGTCCCGACTAGGAAACCAGTACAAGGAAGTGCAGGACGATCGCTGAACGATTCTTAACTTCTAAGAAGCGCTCACGAGTGTGTGTGTGTGTGTGTGTGTGTGCAAAAGTCCGAAGAACGTGTCGTGACTTTTATTAACTTTTCTAAAATCGGCGAATCTCTGGTCACATAACGGAAGATTAAATTACTCTTCAAGATATGATTTTACATCATTCTTTATCAATTCTCCTTTAAAATAAATCAAATTTATTTTATGGTAAACGAGATTTCACAACGACGTTATCTTATATATGTACAATAAGCCAGCGTAAGAACAAACGACGTAAGCAAAGTTCGCAAGAGTAGGCGAGCATTTCTTGCCATCATAAAATCGAGAATAATTAAGGATGAGCTTCACGAGAGATTCCTTGCTTGAATCAAGCTCTCGCGCTCAAAGATATGCAATCGTGTATGCAGTCTCAGGTGTCGAAGGATCGATGAGGCAAAAGAGCGTGACGACCGTGCTCGGCTCGTGCTCAAGGCGTACAACGGAACGTCATTGTGACCTATGCCCAGGTGCAGGGGAACACCTTCGCTTCACTGTATAAATAAATAGTTCAGTAGAGAGGGGCTGCTAGTGCACCCGACTATACACGCCGTACGGTAAAGATCACCTTCTTGTCCGAGGGACAAGGCGCACGGGAAATAATGTAACGATGGCGAACCGGATGCGCGAGGCCGCGTGGAGACCACGAGGAGCAGCCACCCAGCGCCAGTTGCCAGTGGAGTTGTCTTACCCGGTGTAGACGCGAGATACGATCTCCGCCGACTTCTGACCGCCAGTTGTGGGCCCATAGCTCCGAGGCGGGCTCGCGAGACGACAAATCCTGTCGACGAGGGCTCGTACGCTGTCAGCCTTGGAACGATAATCGCCGCCGGGGACACCCACGAAACGGCACGTCGTTAAGTTCGCGGCGCGAAGTAGCACGAACGCTTCGTGACGGACCGTTTTATCCCCAGCAGTCCTTGTCCCACTGATGCTACCGCGTTAGCTCAGCTAATTAATATGCTAATAACGAAGAAGATTAAATCCATATCGTATAAAAAATGATGAGAAGTATACTTGATGTCTATCACTGCTAGAGATATA